AAAAATATGGGCTGCCGACCCGGAGTGAATACACATTAGTGCTCTATCCTTCTTTAACATTTCTTCATCATGAGTTAGTTGTAAGTTGAGCAAGAGTGAGATTTGGTCTCCGTTCTGGTGGATCTTCATTAGTTTCTACAACTCTCCACAAGTCAAGAGATCTAAAATAGATTTTCATCTTAACTGCCCAAACATCATGACTTCCTGTAAAAATAGGAACATGGGTTGAAAAAGCATTTGAAGAAGTCATTTCTGAAAAACTCTAAAAAAACTCTCAAACTCACAAAGTGTTTAAATCACTCACTTACAGCAATGGAACCTTACAACCCTTAAGAAAACAGCCCTGATGCCACTGTTAACGTTAAACTAAGAAAACAAGCTTCAAAGCAAAAAAATGTTAGGAAGAGCAAAAAAGAGAAAAAGAAAAAAAAGACAAGGGAATGCAAACAAAGCAAGATTGAACAAAGATGGGGAGACATCATATTACACTCTCAGCCATTCTAATAAAGTCAGTTTTAAACATGATTACAAAGCAAAAAATGTTTAAAAAGAAAATTACAACTGTTAAGTTTAAAAGCAACACTTAAAATAGACTAAAATACAGTCAATACACAACATTACAGCTGTCATACAAAACATATCTGATTTCTAATATCATTCTAAATACTTCAACATTTTCATGACTTAATGTGCCTTGGTTTTATCCTCTTCTCCAAACTAAAAGCAAAGAATTGAGGAAACTCTTTCAACTCCTCCAAATCCCCATTCATATCATCTCTAAAGTAGTCAAATTTCGACTTGTAGTTGTTTTCTATGCTGAAAGGGAACAACCCTGGGCACCTCAACACCATGCTTTTAGCTTCATTGCTTGAAAACTCTACACATTCCAGGAACTTCAGTTTGGGTTTCAAGGTATGTTCCATATTGGAAACTAGCAAAACAGGGTCTTGATAAGCCAAAGCTTTTAAATCTTTAAACCCAAGCCTTTGAAGATAGAACAAAGCTGGTTTCAGTTGGTTTATTTACACTAGAAGTGAGGAGCACTTGTTTATGATCTTCCTGTAGTTGTTTTCTGGGACATTAAGGTCTTGGGAGAGGAAACTGAAAACTGAAACTGGGTTAAGTTCAGTTTTGATATTGGAGGTCAAGATTTGGGGCACATACCAGAGATTATAGGGTAGTCCTTTTGGTGAAATCCATTGGATTGAGGGAATGAAGGGAGGTGGTGTGAAGAGATGGGTTGAGAGAGAGTGCCTTACCTGAGTCAATGCCCATGATTTCGAGGCACACGATTTTCTCCTTGATTTGAAGGGAGAGATTGTGGTTAGCTGATGAGTAAAGTGGGTGTTTTTGGAGGAGGCTTGGTGTTTTGATGCCAGATGGGTGTTTGGTTCTTGGGAATTTGTGGGAGAAAATGGGAGTCTCTGTGAAGAAATTCATAGCAAAGATTGGATTGTTGTTGCAGACATGGCGGAGACATATAGGCTTCTTGTCTGAAAACCAATCATATTGGTCTTTATTTGTATGATATATGAAAATGACACGTGGATTTTGAATTGAGTTATGATTGGATGAACTACATTTCCTTTAGATGAGCTAAGTGGATTCAGAGTAGACCGTGAACCATCCCATCCTATTGCCATCACTATCATCACAGACTCATATATAAAACTCGAGTAGGTTGACATGCGAGTTCGAACGTATTTATATAGATCAGAAGGGGAGAGGGAATCATATATGATGAATTAGAATATGATACTATATGCCCATACTAAGATTGATCAAATACCAACTTAACATACAGTGTTAAAAACTTGGTGTAAACTTCAGGTACCATACCAAATAATTATTTAAAGTACATATAAATCTTATTTAAGAAGGTTGAGACTACTAGGTTTACATTATTTATGAAACAACCCAAAACATGAGTAGAAGAATCTTAAGAAAAAAGGCTTTGTTCTTAACAGCAACGTTCACTGTCACATCACTATTGAGTCGGGACTAATAATAACAAATATTCATAATGCTGAGAAGAATCAGCTTGGAGACAGAAATATAGATTATCTATGCAGTAAGAAGGTTGACTTTGTTGCTATATTTAACTCTGGGGCACTAAATGCATAATGCTCATATTATATAAATATGGTTGTCTCTTTGAGTGTTTTTCCTTGTATTTTCTTGTAATCTTTCGGGTTTGGCCATATCAATAACCTATGTTCAGCTTTTAGACTTTCAAAACTTCAGCTCCAAACCACCTATTTCATTTAATTATTATATAGAAAGTCAAGAATACTTCACATGATTTAGAAATTCGATTATGCCATAATTCTCACAAGAGCATTACGTTTATAGTCAAGATTCTCCTTCCATTTTGGTGTCAACCTTCTTAAAACAGTCAAACGTACGTAAAGAACTTTTAGTTCCTGCCAAAAAGAAATGTTTGTAATAGCTGTGTAATCAACAATTAATTGCATAAAAGCTAGCACATATAATCACTCCCCTTTGAAACAGAACCTTATTCTAGTTTAGTCGACCTATGATCAATTATGTTGATCTTTTTATACATAACATACGATGTAGATTTGGACCAGAATAAATATAATTACTTTCAACTACTTTTCACATTGAAGAAAAAGAAAGAAAAAAAAAAACACACACACACAATATATATATATATATATCCTATATATATGATCCAAATTCAATTAAAAACTAGGATTACATGAAGAATGATGCATGATTAGAAGCTACAAACAATCATTTTACATAAGTGACATACTTACTAGCTATTGCAGGTGTATTTGCACCTCATGTTACTGCCTGTGATTTTTGTTCATAGGACGCCGTCGATGGAGCCTTTTACCAGGAGTTTGGTGGTCATCCTGCACAAGAAAATTGGCAATAGCTTAGGAAATGAAAAGGTAACTGTAGTAGCCTAAGGACCCATATCCACCATATTTCAGTATCAAGACAACAAACCTTATACAACGATGCTGCTGACTCAGATTGTACTGTCTGCACAGGATTTGCACATGTGACCGTAGGGCATCCAACGCATCCAAGGTCAGCTGCCATCCACAAAGTGCAACAACATCAGCACTACTGCTACTACAGCCAACAGCAGCAAGTGTTCCATTCACCCAGGGCAGAATTGGTTGTGATGAATAATTGGATCAAATTCTACTGCTTCATTGATTTCTCCTTTTGGTGGGCCTAAAAAAACTAGTAGTCTTCATAAGGCATCCGGTAGAGAATAAAAAAAGGAAAATGGAAACGGAGAACCACATTCAATGAAAACACCTTCAAACATGAACTTCAATACAAACAAAAAGTTGAATATGATAAACAGAAAACTATAACATCAATTATATGGAAACTCACGAGAATAGTGAGTGTTTTTCTATATGTAGATAAAATACAGAGTCTATTTAAAGACTTGGAGTACAAGAGTTTAACTATTACTAGGAGTTATTTAAATACACAAACCTTATCTTCTGTTGTCAAGAGAGAAGATTTTATCTCTAGCAATAATTTTAAATAAACTCTAATATTTACAATAGTAACAACTCACACTCCCCTCAGGCTAGAGTATATACATTGTATAAACCCATCTTGGATAGAAACTGCTCGAAAACTTGTTTGGATAGAGCTTTAGTGAGTGCATCTGCTAGTTGTTCCTATGTAGAGACATAAATCAAGTTTACTATCCCACCATTCACTTTTTTTTGCAATAAAGTATCCATCAATCTCCACATGCTTAGTACGATCATGATGGACATGATTTTTCACAATTTGAATAGTCGATTGATTTTTACTGAAGAGTTCTAAGTTTCCTTCACGCTCTATGTACTACTCATTTAGTAGTTGTAACAACCATATGCCTTTATAGATTCCAAATGATAAGGCTCTATACTTTGCCTCGATACTCCTAGAAACGACATTTTATTTCTTACTTCTCCAAATAACTAAGTTGCCCCGTACATAGGAGCAGTATCCACTTGTCGATCTTCTTTCAGTAGCCTCACTAGCCCAACTAGAAACTATGAATATTTTCAGTTCTATCTCCATTTTTCTTGAAGAACAACCCGTGTCTTGGTGTACCTTCTAGGTGCCTTAGAACTCGATTAGTAGCTTCTAGATGTCATTCTCTCAGATTGGTCATAAACTGACTGATCACATTCACAGGAAAAATATATCGTGTCTAGTTAGGGATAAGTAAATAAGTTTTCCCACCAACCTTTGGAACTGATTCTTATATATAGCAGCCCCTATTTCTTCTAGTCAATACCATAAGAGTGTGTAAAACCCTTAGCTAAATGTTTATCTTTATACCTCTCTATGCTACCATCGTAATTATACTTAATCGAAAAGACCCACTTACAACCAACAAATTTCTTGTCATGAGGTAAATCAGTAACGATCCAAGTGCCATTATTCTCAAGTGCTCGAATTTCCTCCTCAACAACTCTCTTCCACATAGGATCTTTCATGGCAGCTTCAATGGTTGTCAAAATTTTCTCTTTATCAATACAGGCTATAAAAGCTCTAAATGAAGGTATTAAGTTACCATAAGCAGCAGATTTTTGAATGGGATATTTACTGCACTGTCTATTTCCATTTCTTTTTGTAATAGGTAAATCTTACATATTTGACAAACCGAGTTGCCTATCTAGCTCAGTTGGTAGAGTGCAAGGCTCTTAACCTTGTGGTCGTGGGATCGAGTCCCACTGAGGGTAATTCATAATGGAGATCTTCCACGGAAGCTGCTCTCAACCTGGCGTTGGGGACAACCTATTATCCTACCTCCCTTTACCCCATTACATATGGGAATAGGGTAAGCTAATTAACATATTTGACAAACCAAGAGAAGTTTCCTTACCACCATCATCTTCTAATGCAACTGGACTTAAATCTTCCATATTCAACAAACCAAGAAAAATTCCATCCAAGTCCCCATGAATTGGAGCCTCAAAAAAATAAGGATCATGTTCAAAAAACGTAACATCCATGGAAACAAAAAGTTTCTTAGTAGGAGGGTAGTAACACTTGTAGCCCTTTCGAAGTGAAGAATAACTCACAAAAACAAACTTTAGAGCCCTAGGATCCAATTTAGACTTAGAATGATCCAAATTTTTAACAAAAACAGTACAACAAATATTCAAAGAGGTAAAATAGAAGAAAACAATCCAAGAAAACATCTCTAGGTGTTCGAAACTTAGAACCTTACTACGCATACGATTGATTAGATAAGTGGCAATTAATAAGGCATGTCCCCAAAAATATTTTGGCATATTCCCAGAAAATAACAATGATCGAGTTACCTCCAATAAATATCTATTTTTCCAGTTTGCGATTTCGTTCTGTTGTGGTGTATCCATACATGAGCTAATATGAACAATGCCTTTTTCTTAAGGAACTCACCCAAAGCACTAGCAAAGAACTCTCCCCCATCATCAGATTGAAATATTTTAATGTGACCCTGAAATTGAGTTTCAACCATAGTATAGAACCGTTCAAAAATAGACATAGTTTCAGATTTATCATTCATTAGATAAATTCACATTGTTCTGCTATGATCATCAATGAAGGAAACAAACCATCTACACCCACTAATATTCTTCACTCTAGAGTGCTCCCAAATCTCACTTTGGATTAAAACAAATGGGTGTGATGTTTTATAAGGAGATGGGAGATAAGAAGATTTTGTTTGCTTAGTAAGTGGACAAACATGACATTTAAATAACTACGATTTTTAATTGATAAATAAATGAGGAAGAAGTTTAGCAGGATAAGAAAAATTAGGGTGGCCAAGCCTGAAGTGTCATAACATTATTTGATCATGTTGGTCTAAAGGAGAAACAAGACTAGAAGGAGCTGAAGATAGAGCCCATTGCATAGTCTAGCATTGCCAATGGTCTTCTTCAAATTCAATACCTGCAAAATACAACCAGTATCAGTAAATCGTGAGCAACATATCAAATCCTTAGAGAGTTTACTCACAAACAACAAATTACAAGTACGATTGGGTAAGAAAATGATATCCCTAAGAATAATATCATTATTAAGAATAACGGAACCAGAATCTTTAATAGGAGATAACAACCCATCGGCAGTTTTAATAGACTGCTTTGAATAAGAGGGTACAAACGTAAAAAACAATGTTTTGTTACCAGTCATATGGTCAGAGGCCTCTGAGTCAATAATCCATGTTGTATCATCTTGATTTGCTAAAAGAGTTGTAGGAAAAAAACCATGTTATGTATCTTCTACTTCTGTCAGAACCACATTGGCCTTATGAGAGTTTCCCATGCTACTAAACATCTTTTGGAGGACATCAATATGTTCTTGTATGAGAAAACACATTGCTCACAGGGTTGACAATCTTGGAGTGGGATCCGCGAGGTGTTCTCGGGGGAGAATGCTTCCATTCTCCAAGTTTACCATAAAGATTCCAGCACTGATCCTTTAAATGTCCAACTTTCTTACAAAAATCATAAACAAGTCGACCTTTCTTAGTCTGAGATGAAGAAGAAGACTTAGTAACCAAGGCATAATTCTCAGTGATAGGAACCTAAGACAGCAGGAAAGGTCTCCTACTTTTTTTTTACTTCCGCAAAGACTTCCCGAAGGGAAAGAGCAGGTTTAGTTCCAAGGAATTATGCTTTCACAATCTCAACCCATTAAGAAATTGAAAAACCGTTATGTTTATACAAGGTTGCATCCTTGGGAGTTTCCCAATCATGGAACGCATACAGATCAAGCTGCTACCACATACCAGTGGTGGGTGTCGAATCTAACAAATAATAATACTTGCTTTTAGAAATATAAATTGTAGTAGCGATAAGCTAGGTCAAATCCACAGAGATTGGGTAGACTTATTTTAATGAAAATTAAAGCAAAGAAAAGGGGTTTTAAAATTGAGAAAAATCAAAAGAAAAAGCAATTCTAATCAACCAAAAATTTAGAGAAATTAATACCAAGCAAATATCCAACTAAAGGTGTAATTTCATAATTGATTCAGAGAATTGATCATAGATACAATGATAAAATCTTCTATTTTTACTAAATTGGTTATGGTTATTAACAAGCTCTAACAACCTATCTCTCCTTAGTTCTTGATAATCAAGAGAAGCTCTTTGATTATTTCCCTTGTTAATGAACAACCCTAGACAAGCTCTTAAGATTTAATCTACCAACAACATTAACTACTAGAGAGACCACCAATTCTAGCCAACAAATACACAAACTCGATTCAATTAGACTAGATTATATACCTCCATAACATAATCAAAAATCAACTATGTTACTTTATCACTAATATTAGATTGTTCAAACAATTACGGATTTAAAGTTCTAAATGACAATTTATCAACCTGATAATTGAACAACGGGCCCTTTGCATCAATCAATCAAGATAATAATTCTTAATAATTATGGAAGATATATAAATAGTGAAGAAATAAAAGAACAATGAAAATTATTTAGATCTCACAATTCTTGAAGAACCAAAACTTCAATTATCCTTTAACTGGAACAAAAGTATTTAGCTACTCATAATAGAAAGAACACCCAAAAGAAAATAAAGATGAAGTCTGTAAATAATCCTAGAGAAAAACTTCTAACTATGAAAACCCTAGCTTCCCTTTTATAAGGATTGTCCTCTTCTAGATAAGGAAGTTTCCCCAAAGTCAATCCCACAAAAATCGGGGTTTTTTGAATATCCTCATCCTTCTCTAAACATAAGAATATTCCAATAGATTCTTTTAGCTTTCAGTAAACTCATTTTCCCTTGTAAATTTATAACCCTAATTTAGGGTTGTACAGATGAATAAGTCGTTCCCACGCCTTAACTGCAGACTTTTTCTGTGATAGCTCAGGATGAATAAGTCGTGCCTACGCCTTATACGAAAACCTCTTCTGATCTTGCCAACTTCTTGAATTCCGATTTTCCTCTTTAATTTGGAATTTTGTGAAGATCATGCTAACCATTAGATTTTAAACTTGTTTAATCCAAATCTTTAACCTAATCAACAAAATACGAAATATAATCAAAATATATGATTTAAGCAATTTTAGTTATTCACGTATGAGGAAAATATCA